AGTTTGGAGCATATTATAGTCTTCTATGTTGGTGATGGCTTTGTAGACTTTAAGGTCATCTGCGTATAGCTGTATATCCGTGTTTTCGAAGCATTCATAAATGTCATTTATAAATATATTGAACAAGAGAGGACCTAGATGTGACCCTTGCGGAACACCAGAGGTGACTGTCAAATGATGAAGATCTAGAATTATTCACAACGACATATTGCTTACGATTTTCGATATAGGACGAGAGTAATTTCAATAAATTTCCATGCACACCGAAATTACGAAGTTTAACAGCAAGTGTAGGATGATGTACCTTGTCGAAGGCTTTCGAAAAGTCGGTGTACACAACGCAGGTTGAAATTCCTTTTTCCATGTTCGAGTAGATTTCTTGTATTGTATATTATTAGATCTTTGGGGAAGACGAAGACGCTTCAACAGTAACAAAACTCACCACCCTGTGCTGCTTTGAACCTCTCCTCGTATAGTCGATAGGCCTTAGCATGGGCTCGCAACAAGTTGTGCGCACACTCGTACTCCAACAACCCCCCCGCTTTGATGTAGGGCACCAAGTAGCCAAGCCTATGGTTGAGAAAATGTCACTATGATTAGTTATTAATCTCAGCATATGTTCAATAATTGATCATTCAATTTCCTTGTAGGTAATATATATTTTTTCCGTCGACCTCGTATTAACGACTAAGTTTAATGTATATGCAATCGTTCATTAATGACCCCTATTAATGAACGATTCGTCTGTTAATGCACGATTGTTTTATAGGCAACCAAACATACACCGCGTGCATTCATTGTTTATGTTTATGTTTCGATTTAAATGCAGATTATTCAAATCGAAAATATGGATTTCATCGAAGATTTTCAGTTAACGGGTTCGCCTTTCCAAGTTTCTGACACGATTTTAATTCATGTTTTCTAACACAAGGAATTTATTTTGTATGTTGATCATTTCGACAAATATCAAATGTCACTAATGTCAGTAACAAGGCTACTGGGTGATTCTTAGCAGTTTCCGGATGAATTGAATTCGCGAACCAAGTTTTCTTCATTGCAGGAGAAATGAGAAATATAGTCGACAGAAAAATGTTGTAAACAACTTGTCGAACATTAACGCGCTCGCTTCGCTCGCACGTTAAAATATCTCGATCATTAATCGCCTCATTAATACACTAGTTGGGTTAAATAACGATTTATTATTGTAGATAGGAACACAAAATTTGGGATTGTGTGTTATAGTTCAATTTAGATTTCTTGACATATCCACTTGTTTTCTTCTTCTGGTTTGATCGGAAATGATCCCAACTTTCGAATTCGGAATGGGACATCTTATATAATATGTTTACTTACCTATTTGGATCGAGAATGACATTCAAACTATTCGTTTAGATAGCCACCCCCTTTAGATTTGAAAAAATCTAGTTAACTGGGAAAGTTTATATTTGCGACTTAAATAATTCTCAAAACGACTGTGAAGTCATTAGCCTCAAAGTAGTATTTTTCCCATGTTATACTTGATCAAGCATGGTATTCTAGATCGAAAAATGAAAATCGGGAAAAACTCACTTTATAATATGTCAAATATTGACAAGTGAAGTGTTGTTGGATTTTGAAGCTCATTCTCGATCGGAATAAGTGTAAATATAGACGATATGTCCCATTCGAAAATATAAAATTGGAGTAATGTCCTGTCAAACTGGAAGTAGTATAATACACAACCTCCAAATTTCGGTGTTCTATCTTCAATAATATCAAAAATATAGGATTGAGCCACCTTAGAGAATCACCCGGTATAATTATGCCCGAAACATGTTAAACGAGGAATTTTATTCAGGTTATATCTTCATGATACAACGCGATTTTTATATAGAGAACTAAAAGTATGATGATCCTGAAAATTAGTTGGGATGTTGAAGGAAACATGGAGAAGAAGCTTACGGTTCCTCCGGAAGTGACGTCATCTTCGTTATTTCCAATGGGACACCTTATATTTCACATTTTTGGATTCCCCTTTTGATTTTGATCCAAATTGATGTATCATATCCTGTACTTAAAATGAACCGTTTTTGAGTGAGTTATTCGAGTTGTTTTAGAAAAAGCGGCAGATGCAACCTATCGAACATATACAGTGTGTCCCACTTACCATGCTCACCATGGGTATCTTTTTAACAGTGAGAGATACGAGGTCTGTTAAATGACACCAAATGTGGAGTTTGTCAAGGCCAACTATAATGTGAAGAAGTATTTTGATAAAAACTATTCGTTTTTGTTTTATACGCAATAAACAGATTTTGATCATTTTCATGTCTCCTCCGCAATTTCTTTATTTATGAAAATATTCAGATAGGAATTTAACATTCTCATGGCAGTTTTTCAAAGTGATTTCGAAAAAAATATGAAATTGATACCAACTCTTCTAGAATTTGAGATATCAGCACCAACTTCAGTTTTTCAAATGTAGGTCATAGCTCACTATGACTTAGTTACAAATAACTTTTTTTTCTCTCACAGATGATATGTCGCAGTGATAGTTTTGTGTTGATAACAACGGAGTTATCGCCATTTATACAAAAACAAACAATTATTTGGAAGCCGCCATCTTGAATCTATAAATTTTAACAAAAAAATCATGATCTCCGACCTCAAAAACCCCCACTTACCAATTTTGAATGGAATGGGACCAAACATAACACTTCGCCAAAAAGAACGTGTTTCTCCTGATGAACTAATTGTTCGATTCAGATGTTCGAGTGCTCATTCTTTTTAAAAATCAATGATCTAACATTGTATCGGTCCTGATTGGAAGAATGAAAATTTTTTTATTCGCCAGCGATTTTTGAAAATCACAAAAATTCTAGATACTCCACCATTTTGTTTCTTTCAATTATTGGATTTTCAAATGTTCCATTGTGTACTATAGTTCTTTATCTTCGAAATAACTCTAAGAAATCCAAATTCGATTGAATTTTTATGAAGCCTGAAGCAAAATAATAATCGTTTATACGAGATTCGCACATTCACTCCATAACAAATTGCAAAGAAATGAGTGTATCTACTGGACTATTTGTTCGATTTCGATGTTCGAGTACTCATTCTCCTCAGAAATGAATAACCTGAGATGACATCGGTACAGGTTGGATCTGATTTTCTTTTTCTCCAGCGGTTTTTGTAAATGACAATACTTTGGTAGAGTCCGCCATTTTGTTTTTGTTCATTATGGAATTTTCAAATATTCCACTGTATACAATAGCCCCTTAGCTATGAAACGACGCCAAGAAATTCGAATTCGGTTGTGTAATGATGAAACCACGAGGAAAATAAAAACTTCCGGTTTTTTTGTGACCACCCGATATAGCCATACCGTACCCGTATCCTCCGTTACAGTACTGCCTAGGCTCGTTGAATGTGGCCCAAATCTTGACGTCATCGCCAAACTGGTCGAAACAGACAGCTGCGTAGTCAGAGAACCAGTCGATGAAGGACTCATTGAGGAGACCGGCGTGTTCTTGAAGGGCCATAGGCATATCCCAGTGGAAGATGGTGACGACAGGCTCGATGCCGTTGGCTCTCAGCTCTCGGAGGATATTCTTGTAGTAGGTAACACCGGCCTGGTTGATTTGGTCCGGGAATCCTGAAATAATGAAATGTTCTAGATCGCCCATGTCATAAGAAAAAGGCTATACCACCCATGAGATCGAACTGGAGAAAATGAATCATGCTCTTTTAAGAGCTGTCATATATCTTACCAGGGCCGGATCATCCATAAGGCGGACTAGGCAACTGCCTAGAGGCCCCGCACCGACTAGGGGCCCCGTGCACGAACAAAAAAAAAACCGTTTCATTCAACGAGATTATTTTTGAAAAATTGTATACTGAGGGAGTATTACCGAATCCTCACTGAGATAGGGACATACAGTCTCCAAATGTTCAGTTCTCGAGATACAGGGCGTTGAAGTTGAGAAATTAAAATAGTTTTTTCGCAATATCCCAATGAAAATAATTGAATATAATGCATCCAAATTCGGTATATGGTTTCATCTTTCAATGGTTCATTTTTTGACCAGGAAGACATTCCGAGAATTTTATCTAATGGTGCGCTACAGGGGGTTGTGATAACTTTTCCTCCCATATTTCTGTCGAAATTTCGATTATTTCCAATTTCTTGAATTGATTGTTCAATTATGTTGAAAAAATGCATTACCTTCAACTGAGCTAAAATGAACAGTTATCGAGATATTTGACTCAAAATAGAAGTTTGCATAGTAATTTTTCATCTTCCTCAGTAGTAGAAAATTACAAAAATATTTGTTTTCTCTTTATGCGTGGAATGACTATTTCTGTTCAGCTAGAGGATGAGATCTGAATAGTATCTGATCTACTCAACACCGGAATTATAACTATGCTATGCAAGTTTCTATTTTGGGTCGAATATCTCGAGAACTGTTCATGTCAGCTCAGTTGAAGATGATACATTTTTTGAACAAAATTGAACAATAAATCCGAGGAATTGGAAATATTCGAAATTTAATCAGTGGCGTAGAAAATATGGAAGGAAAAGTTACCACAACCCCCTGTAGGGCACCACTGGATAAAATGTCCGGAATGGCTTTCTGGTCGAAAAATGACCCATTCAAAGATGAAACCATATACCGAATTTGAATGCATTATATTCAATTATTCTTGAGATATTACGAAACAACTATTTTTATTTCTCAACTTCAACGCTTTGTATCTCGAGAACTGAACACTTAGAGACCGTATGACCTCATCTCAGTGATTATGAAATCACGAGGGCTATCACCTGTCAAGCGTTGTCGGTCAGCTCACCTTGACTTCCTCTATCCGCCATTATGCTATGGCTGGTTAGTCATGACTCACCCTGTGTTTTGGCGGTCTATTCTACTGTTTAATGTTTTCGGAAGACTTACCGGTCGGGAGAATTCTGCTCCAAGCCAGAGAGAATCTGTAATGGTTCACGCCGATTTCTTTCAACATAGCTAGGTCTTCTTTGTATTTGTGATAGGAATCACATGCAACGTCTGCATTGCTCCCATCAGCTATAGAATCAGGATCAGCATGAGTGTAATTGTCCCAATTGCTTGGCAATTTGCCATCTTCATCCCAGGCACCTGAAAATTGAATTGATTGAACTAACTTCACGACGTCGGCACGTATCTATTATATATTTGCCGATACGAAATCAGTCTATTAGATCCCATCCCAATCACTCTCCCACACCTATCCCACCCCTCATCCCTAGAGTCTTTCACAGATAATTTTTAAAAGTTTTTTTTATTTTATTTTTATATTCCAACACAAAAAATGCTAAATACGCACTTGTTAGGTGAACTAAACTATATCAACATGAATTCTGATCACGATATTCAGATATGGAATTTGCTGCAAGTGAAGCAAATTGAACTCTAGTACCCTCTATATTTATGATCAATTAGTTATTATTTCAGTATGAAAGGGGACAGCATAACACCGATCATTCGATTCAGGAAAATGCCTCAAGTCAAGATTCCTACTAGGATAGACTGGGAACAGAATGGGCACTGCATAATACCCACCAAGGTTATCATCTGGTATACAGATGGCTCCAGGATGGAAGAATGCGCAGGTGCTGGGGTCTATGGGCCATCCCCAAGGGCAAATCACTGCTATACCCTTGGGAAACATGCCACGATTTTTCAGGCTGAAGTATTTGCAATACTTGCATGTGTTCGAGAGAATATCGAGAGGGGCTATCACAGCCAGCAAATCACTATATGCACTGACAGCCAGGCGGCGACCAAGGCGCTCACCTCGTATAGGGTGACCTCCGCCTTGGTGTCGGAGTGCATAGATAGCCTACAAAGGCTGTCAGCAACGAACAAAGTATGTCTTTTGTGGGGTTCAGTGATTGGCCCAGAGCCAATCTTAGGGGTCACTCGATCCTGGAGCAACTTCAAGATGAAGGAAATCCTGACGGAAAGGTTTCAGGACAGCTGGAGGAAGGCTCCTCGAATGGAGCAGTCCAAACTCCATATAGGAAACTCGTCACGAAGAAAGAACAATGCCCTCTTGGCTTTGAACAGGAAGGAGCTGAAACTGGTGGTGGGCCTTCTGACAGGGCACTGCCACCTGAACATTAATGCAGCATGATCGGGATTGTGGAGGATCCTGAATGCAGATGGTGCCTAGAGGATGAAGAGACTTCTACTCACATCGTCACTGAATGCCCGGCAATAGTGGCAGCAAGGGATATCCATTTTGGGAGCAGTATCCTGGACCCAGAAGATGTTAAAAAGATTTGGCCTAGAAAGTTGGTCTCTTTTGCTCGCGAGATCGGCCTTCTCCATGGCTGACTTGCGATCCCAGGAATGTGGGTGCACAATGGGCCCGAAAAGGGAGGCCTAAGTGCGTCAGGTCCCGGACCGCCCACACACATACATACATACATACATAGTTATTATTTCTTTGTTTGAGTAAATAACTGAGATTTGTGATTATTTTATTAGTATACTGCACTATATAGTGCTGTAAAGTATATCTCGAGGTATATCTTCACTATCGGCAATAACCATTCATGGGAAAATCACGTAAAATCAATTGCTGAAAGTGCATCTCAAAAACTTGGTTTCCTGTTTCGGGCCAGGGGCTATTTCACTTCCAGTTCCAGTATAAGGCACAGATCCGACCTGTCCTGGAATACTGTTATCATATTTGGAATGCAGCACCCAAGCATACCCTGAAACTGTTGGAATCTGTCCAAGAAAGGGCAATTCGTCTCGTGGGTGATGCCTCGCTCACAAACTCACTCACTTCTTTGGAACACCGTAGAAAAGTTGGCGATCTGGCTCTATTTTATAGATATTTTCATGGACGGTGCTCTTCTCAAATATCAACAATTGTTCCTCCGTTGGCAGTCCCCGCGAGATCAACCCATCGAGTTGAGGCTTCGCACCCCTTCGTGGTCACTTTGGAGACCTGTAGAACATCTCTTTCCGAAGACTCGTTCATCCAACGAACAGCGAGGCTCTGTAACACATCGCAAAGGGAGGTGTTCCCCGAGGCATATAACCTCCAGAAATTTAAGAAGAACACCAATTCCTACCTTATTTCCCATGGTTCTCACGATGTTCACTGAACATTACAGGATATCCCTTTTCGTGGGAACCAGAACATAAAAAAACGACACTGAAATCAGTGTCGTAATGTTGTACATTACATAATGGTATACGTAGTATGTAAAAAATATTATTCCATAGTCCATTAGAAATCATATCATTATAGTAAAGCGAGTTGATGGATCTTGAAGATAAACTATCAAAAAATGCTCGCAGATGAATTATACGATAAAGAGTATAGTAACGAACACATCGATATCAGTGAAATGGAGACTGCAAGGATTCTCGCCCCTGAGAAGACACTGAGGGTGGGTGTACTATGATGTGACAGTTTTGATGTTTTGCTTCTGGAACATCATGAATGATTGGTTTCATTCAGAATTGTTCTATATTCTTGTTTTTGTGTTTCAAGATATACATCTCATCTTGATCACGATGAGGTATAGCACCAGCATGAGAATCTCAGAAACTGTATAGGATGATATACAGGGTGTTTCATTGGGAAAGGTGAATAATTCAACTGTGGATAGGGGTCACTGAGGTGATTTCAAAGAACCTATGGTTGATGGGTCTTCGACTTCTTATAACCGAGATACAGGATGTTTCATCAATTTTGTCCATATCTTCATTGTCTCATAACTTTCCAACCAACCTGTATATATTTTCAAAAATTGGTACACTTGCTCAATATACCTTGTGGAATTGATTGAGGCAACAACATCCAATGTAGATATTTTCTTTTTGTCATTTGCACAATTCAAACGTGATATTCTCAGCACACTTCCTAATTGATAATTATACATTATGCTCTCATTCACTTAATATTAATTATGCTTAGTATTGGACTACTCTTATCACCTATTATTAATTTTGTACACCTATTAATGGGCTCTTGGGCCTGTTGGATGTATTTTTTGAAATAAATAAATAAATAAAAAGATAAAGTCCAGGTCCGGCTTCACTTAAAATTCACAAATTCTTTCTGCCAGAAAACAACACCCTAAACATTCGAATTTCTCATTTTTCTTGCCATATCTGAAAAGAACATCAAACTTCCTATTCAACGATGTGCTTTTTATTCGTGCACAGACGATTTTTACTATTCATATTATGTGCTCAAAATATTATTTTTGCTCATTTTGGGGTACAAAATTGGAACCAGACGAGATTTATTAATTTTATTACTTCCTATTCAGTATACGTGAGTATTACATTTAGAAGGAGTATTTCATATCGTTCTTTGTTCCAGACTTCGTTGCAGGTCCGTCATCACAACTAATCAACTATACAGGGCTTTTCACGATAAGCGTTAATTAGATGTTTCTGGCAAACCAGGCAACGGATAAATCAAAAAATTCGAAGGTATGTATAAATTAACATGATCTACACGTCTGAAATATTTGAAACAATCCGGCGTTGCCGCTTCTACTCGAAAGTAGCAGTAACTTTGATTTTTCAAATGGGAGACCCTGGATGCTTGCTGAAGAGCTGATTCAATCGATTCACAAAGTTCGGGGTCTAGTGGGACTAATAACTGAGAATTTCAGAGTGAGAAAAATCGAGATGTTTCAACTTTAGAATTATTTTGCGAAAATATTCATTATTGATCAAAACGGCTTTTATGTCCATATCTTAACTTTGTATCTATTGACATTCAATCGAAACAAATACAGGATGGTTCATAATTCAGATTTCTGCATCACCCTGTATCTGTTTCAATTGAATATCGAATGGAAAGTTGAGATAGGGACATTGAAGCCGTTTTGACCATGCAATAATAAATAGTTTCAACACAAAACATTTCTAAAGTTGAAACATCTCGATTTTCCACATCCTATATCTCAGTTATCAGTCCCGCTAGACCTTGAATTTTTTGAATCGATGAATTCTGCTGTTCAGCAAGAATCCAAGAATGTAATGAAATACAGGGTGTCCCATTTGAAAAATCGAAGTTGCTGCTACTTTCTAGTAGAAGCGGCAAGGCCGGATCGTTTCAAATATTTCAGTAGTGAAGATTATGTTAATTTATACATACCATCGAAATTTCAGATTTATCCGTTGACTGGTTTGCCGAAAACGTCAAATTAACGCTCATCGTGAAAAGTCCTGTATAGTTTTGATGACGGACCTGCAACTAAGTCTGGAACAAAGAACGATATGATAATTATACTCCTTCTAAATGTAATACTCACGTATACTGAATAGGAAGTGATAAAATTAATAAATCTCGTCTGATTCCAATTTTGTACCCCAAAGAGAGCAAAAATAATATTTTGAGCACATAATATATGAATAGTTAAAATCGTCTGTGCACGAATAAAAAGCACATCGTTGAATAAAAATTTTGATGTTCTCATCAGATATGGCAAAAAAATGAGAAATTCGAATGTATAGGGTGTTGTTTTCTGGCAGAAAGAATTTGTGAATTTTAAGTGAAGCCGGACCTGGACTTTATCTTTTGTTGTTGCCTCAATCAATTCCACAGGGTAGATTGAGCAAGTGTACCAGTTTTTAAAAATATATACAGGTTGGTTGGAAAGTTATGAGACAATGAAGATATGGACAAAATTGATGAAACATCCTGTATCTCGGTTATAAGAAGTCGAAGATCCATTAACCAAGGGTTTTTTCAAATCACCCCAGTGACCCCTATGCACAGTTGAATTATTTACCTTTCCCAATGAAACACCCTGTATACGGATTCGGTTAGATGGGAAAAAAGTTGTGCGTGCAGAGGATCAATCAAACGTCTTACGAAAATTTCAGTTAAGGATTACGAAAAAGGTGAATTTTTGGAAATAATATTTTTTTTATACATTATTACTGGAGAAATAAAAAAAACTGATAATACTTTTTGATGGGATTTAACGTGTTTATATTGATCTCTCTGTTCGATGTTTCGTATATCTAGAGCTATCATCACATATAATTTTTTGAGTACGGTCCTTATTATTAATTCACAGATTCCTGAAGCGTTTTTCATTCTGAACATAACCATGAGTTATACAAAGTGGTGCGAATGTCTCGACCTAGATTTAACCATCATCTATTTTTTTCGTAATTCCTAAGGAAAAATATCAGTTATTATTGAATAGCCAAATACTGACTTACCTTCGATCTGAAATGCAGCTGTTGCGACACCAAACATGAAATTTGGAGGAAACCTTTTTCTATTGAGAACATATTCATCTGCAAAACTGATATTTGTTTGAGTCAGGGGTTAATAATACCGGTTTGCAAATTTTTCAACCTACCTGTAACTGGCTATGGACACCAGTACCACAAGCTTCAAAATAAAATTCATAGTGGAGTAGTGTGAAGAAATCGCTTGCACAATATATTTTATATGGATTTTTTTGTTCGATATTATATTATCTTAACAAGCCCATTTTTGTTTTTGAATCGATTCAAGATTGTGATATCAATATCAAAACCTTATTACCATGAATTCCTATCAGATATGAACCCTCCAGCACGCATGATCTTATCACAGTTGATATTTTTTTCTTGCGAATCATTGTTGATCCATACAGGAATAGGACATCCTCACTATTTATATTTCTCACCTATTCAATATGATTGAATATGTTCAATAAATTTTTCAATCAGGTAACCACTTCAGTAACGAAAATACAGAGTGTTTCGTAATATGTGGAACGCACTTCGAGAGGTTTAAAGCGGCGTTCACAACCAAACTGTTAATTTTTGCTTTTTACATTTCGCATTCTGATTGGTGAAGCAAAATCTGGAATGGACATGACGCAAAAATCTGAATATGTTCAGCTTTTTGCGTTGCATGATGCCACTATGTGTTAAAATGGCACGATATAAGATGGCTCAACCTATTTTCACACCACACCTCAATGATAGTCTCATCCAATATTTGTCTTTTTTGCTCTTCATGGAGCAATTTACGTCACCGACAGTACTCATGAATATTATTCGTTATTCAATTGATATTATTGTTGTGATTATTTCACAAACAAACTACCATCATACGGCTTACCACCTCAGCTATGCCATCTCTTATCGAGTTTTCTTTCAGGCAGATCGCTTCACGTGGTGGTGGACGGTGTATCGTCTGATACCATTAGCATAAATTCCGGCGTTCCACAAGGATCAATTTTGGCACCAACATTATTCCTTCTTCATATCAATGATCTGTTAAGAGTAACAACTTGCCCCATCCACAGCTTTGCAGATGATAGTACCCTCCATACTGTGTTCTCTTCCAGAATTCCCATTTCTTCCCAGCAAACTAAGGACTCACGGCGCAGGCAGGTCAATGCTGTCAATGAAGACCTTGCTGAAATCACAGCCTGAGGAACCAACAACCTAGTTGAATTCAACGCCACCTGTATTTTCTCTAGAAAGGCGCAACTCAGTATGCCCGATATTGTAATGTCTGGCACCACCATCCCCACCAAGCCCACCATATCTATGCTCGGTATTTCCATCAGCAACACTCTTTCATAGGATAATCATGTCAGATCCATCGCAAGAGCTGCTTCACAAAAACTCGGATTCTTGTTCCGTGCGGAAAGCTACTTTACACCTCAACAGCTTCTCATGATCTACAAAGCGCAGATACGGCCTGTTCTAGAATACTGTTCCCACATATGGGGTTCAGCACCAAAACATACGCTGATGCTCTTAGATTCCATCCAGAGAAGAGCCATTCGCCTGGTGGGTAACGCCATACTCACTCACTCACTCTTTGACATCATTGGAACACCGAAGAAAGGTCGGCGACCTTTCACTTTTCTATCGATACTTCCACGGCAAATGTTCTTCGGAAATCTCTGCTATCATCCCTTCACTAGCAATATCAGTCAGACGAACTAGACAAGCCCAGTCAGCTCATCCTTTCGTTGTCAACCTCGAAAGATGTCAAACAGCACTTTATCAAAACTCCTTCATCCATAGAACGACTAGGCTCTTGAATTCATTGCCTGAGGAAGTATTCCCAACAACATATGCTCACCAGAAGTTCAAAAAAAAATTCCAATACCTACCTCCTGTCCCAATCCCCCCTAGGAACGCACGATGATTTTCGAACATTATAAGGATTTCCTTTCGTGCGCTCCAAGCGATGAAAAAAAAATGAAAAAAAAAAAAAGAAAAAAACAAAAAAAAAAAAAAGGATGGATGAAGCACCAGTGACCGAGGCAACTGAGAAGAGCCGTAAAAACTCACGATGACGTTTTTTGTTGAGAATGACATTTGCTTCAGTAAACAAACATTCTTGATATTCTGGTGCATTGTCTGCTAAATATGGGGGAAAAATCTAGAAAGCTGTAGTATCTCCATATCTCCCAGTGGCACCGTTGAGCAGGGGTATTGATGTGTGATTTTTCATAAAAAACATGAGTGGCGATGAAACTTTTCGATATTTTATTCGAAAATATGAAAGAAGATGCAATTTTGTAGAAAAAAGCACCAAGCGTTGAAACTCGTAGACACATTGTTTTCGAGAAAAATCAAATAACCAAATTCAACTCCAAAATTTGATGTAGATGTCCAAGGACGTCGGATAGTCCATTCAAGACGTTTAGATTACTCTATAACCATGATAGATATCATTCTGTAATTGTGGCACTATGCCGGTCACATATGACAGACTAAATTTTGCCACCAGGATAAGCCATACAGAGTGGACATAACAATTTCAATAAATATTTTCAACTTCAACACCCTGTGTCACGCAAACGAAGCCTTCTACGACTTTCGTTTATGGGAACTTTTTTATTTTCTTGGGACGCCCTATCAAATCTCGAAGTGCGTCCCACATATTACGAAATACCCTAGTTAATAATATTAATCGAATAAAAGTTGGTGTTACCCTACCACACTCTATATAGTTAATTCTTCTTTTCCGTCCACTAAATTGTTCGTTAATTACCCTAATCATCGATCAATTTGTTAGTAACGAGCGATTATGGTATAGGCAACCAAACAACTTTCGGAATCTGCATTTAAAACGAAAAAATGGATTTCAACGAAGAGCTGATTTTGATAATTTTTTCCAAAACATTAGGGATCGATTCTACTTATTGTCAGTGTCAAGTTGACTTCCACGGCTACTGGGTGGTAGGTGATTGTTAGTAGTTTTCCTATGAATAAAGCCATGAATTCGTGAACAAGGAATATTTTTTCTAGTAAACTCGTAATAATGAAGTGCTTTGCTGGCACGTAATATCTTGATAATAAGTCGTCCTCACCAATACACTACTTTTCTCGAATTGATAAAAATATTGAAGTTCGATTGTTACGAATGGATTTGTATTGTTTCAGGTATGCTGAGAACTTGTTTTTTTATTGTTAAATGTTCAGATAAAATTATCATTTTATCCCAACTACAATGCACTTTCCTACAAATTCTTTTTTTTTTTCTGGAAATAAATATCTTACCTTATCTAATCAAATATAGAAAAGTATGAAAACAATCAACGGTTGTTCCCTGTCATAATTTATCTAAAAAAAAGGGGACATAATTTGTCTCAACTTGGAAATGGAGGGTATCAATGTTTCTATAAAAAAATATTTGTTTATTAATTACTCAAAGTCTTGGTGGTTTTGTTAACAGTGGCATTCAGCTTTCTTGGTGTAATTATAGATTCGAAATTATGATTCCATTAGCGCAGCAGTGGGTTTCTTAATTTTCATATTTTTAGATTGAACAATAATTGAAATAAAAATGTCTGTCGAGGAAACAATTAGATTCGACACCAAATTGTTATTTAGATGCCCTCAAGACACCCATTGAGATTACTAAATCACCACCTAGACTGAATATCATGAAAAACCAGTTGATACTTCCAACTTTAACATTCTGGAAACCCAAAAACGGAGAAAGTTCTGCCACATGTATGTGAAATCTTTTCTTGAATTATGACAAAGAATGACCTTCTAAATTTGTTCGCACTCATTTATTCACACCCTGTATATTTATTATCTATCTATGTATCTTTATTTTTCCATTCATCTATTCAATGAATTCGAAATTCAAAATAGGGTCATTGTAATAATGCTTTATAATAAAAAAATTTACAAAACACAAAATAACACCTAACATAAAGAAAGTATATTTTCGTGATGAGGTGTGAGATATTTTCAAAAGACGAACTGTATTCTGTATCATTTCATGTAGTTCCTGAGATATTCATCAGTAATGAGTGAAATAAGGATGCGAAGAGAAAAAAGTTTATTGTGTCGTGGTTTATAATATCATGCTTTCCAGTACTAGCACAATCATAGTTTCCAAATTTATTTTGTTAATATTTTCGCTAATTGGTAGGAGTGTTGATAGGGCATCATTGGTCCTCCTTTCACTATACCGGGGTGACACAAAAGTCATGTAACAGACCGTAGTTTTTTTATTTGGAAAGATAAAAATTTGAAATTCATAAGTGTTCTTCCCTTGAACCCAATGACAATTTTCTTCAACCACCTGTTTGATTGGAACTAGACCCAACTTTTTTTTCAAATAGCACCCTGTATGTTTTTGTAGCCTATCTTATTTGCCTCACAATTCTCTATTCTTCTATTCAACTATGTATCACAATTCAGTTCAAAGTAATCATCCGAAAATAAATCATGATATTGAGAAAACTAAGATAGAAACTCAGCTTTTTTCATTTGGCTACTTGTGGAGAAACTATATTTTTCTTTTATTTTTGCCATGTAGCCATAATATGATCATCCATTTGTATACATGAAACTGAAATTGTTGTAATAATTGATGTATCGTCCTAAATACATCTGTTCATAACTCTATATTAGTGTATTTTCAGGATCATTTCGCTCAGTATGCGGTTAACACAAAATGTCTAGTTTGAGTTTGACAATTATTCATTGAATCGCAATCTTCTGGGACCGATAAGGGTATAGAAAATATTTTGATAATATCGTATAAGTCGAGGTATAAGTAATGATTTTTAGCCTATCAAGCACCGAATTGTCATTGTATTCGGGCCACAGCCAACTGCATGTATTTCAATAAACTGCAATTTGACCTCCAATTTCAAGGCGAATAAGATAAGCTACAGAAATATACAGGGTGTCATACGAAAAAAAAAAAGTTGGATCTAGTTCTGATCAAACAGGTGGTTGAAGAAAATTGTCATTGGGTTGAAGGGAAGCGCCATCATCGATAATATGACCCTTGTGATTTTCAAATCTTGATCTCATCAAAAAAAACCTACAGGCTGTTACATGTCTACTGTGTCACCCGGTATTAATTGAATAATGTCATTAGAATTGAGATATTTTTTTTCTATAAATGAACAGAAATTAGTCGATCATTCCATATTCCGAGAAGTCTTATTACACTTTGTGTCCTTGTTAGCTCGATTGTCTTAACTAATACTTACATGCACGAATGCACATATTAAAATAAAAAAAAGAGAATTCTGGGAACATCAACCACTGGTTTTTCCTGATTGC